TCCTATTACCATTGACTATTTCATCTCACTGTGCTGATATAGTGTGTCAACTTGGACCGACAAATTTGTGTGACATCTTCTGCATTGTTTATAATTGATTGGCTAAACAATATCCTAATTGAGAATTGATGGTCATATTGAGAACACCCTATCATATTGAACTGCTGCCACATTTCTTAGTAAATGGATTAAAGTATCAAATATACTCATTACTTTAATAGTTTTCGTTTTTGACAATAACTCTTTTACACTGATTTCATGACTTGTTTACTTATGATTGAGTGCAAAGTATACTTCCCAAGTTTTCAAACCACTCCAGTTTGCAGATTTATTCCGACTAACACAGATCAAACCAAACGTTATTAGTATCGCATTTACTGCATTTCAGTTTCTATATTTTAGAATTTTTAGGTCTACTTCAATTAACTTTTCATGTTTTGGACAGTTTCTTACTTCTCTTTATGCATGAAACTAGTGGATTACTGACAAAACCAGTCGGCTTCCAACGGTTTGCTGCAGATTCAAACTTCACTTCACATCGGGTTTGAGCCACTGGGTGGTATCACTTTCACAAAGAGAGGTACATAAACTCGCACTGGATAAATGAGTTGATTGAATCGGTTACCCTGGTTGTAACAAGTACATATTCCCACTAATCATCTTAGTTATATTGTCTAGAGATCGATATAACTTCAATATATTCACTCAAAGTTTCAGTACTCCAAGTGTTTCTAGTTTTTTCGCCACATCTTCACTAAGAAGAACCCTGCCTGATGTGTGTAGCTGAAGCGGAACGCTAGGGTTCTGTTAAACATTTGATTATTTCTAAGGTAGTGCAAATATATAAAGTGAAAGGATTACGAAAAGCTTTTTTTTATCTCCATTGTGTAATTGGACACCAGGATAGAGTGAAACTCGTATCTATATGTATATTCTATTTACTTCAGCATTGTCTCCACTTAAATCATACCGCAAATTTTGTTTAGTAATAGGTGATTTGTATGGTTGTATATCTCAGTTACCTTCCTAATTCTCGTTTACATTAGTTGAACCAGTAGTTCGCAAAACTGCATCGGCATTCGCTGATGAAGAGCAGGATGAGAAACCGAAAAAACATGGTCTTTCATGGCTGCCACCGTCAGCTTTAAAGGCTAATTCAATATCCAATCCTTCAAATGGAGGCGATTCAAACCAAAATGATTCAAACAACTTACCACCAGTTTCAGCATTGTCAACAGAAGAAAAAAAAGCTATTATCAAAAGAATTATTGAGGGGATACCAACTCACAAAAGAGAATTATTTGCTTATCCTATTGACTGGGATATGGTTGATGCCGTAAGTGTTGTATGTTTTTTGTACACCGTCTACAAATCTATCAATTCTGTTAAGTGTTGTGAATTAGTAGCAATCAATTTGGTGCTATATTTCAATTCTTTGAATATAGGGTAATATTGTTTTGAACAAAAAAATATGTTATTGCTTCTTTTATTTGCGTGCTTTAAATAAGTGTCACATTAAATTTTAGTACAGCTCACTTATTGAATGCTGTTCTGTACACTAAGTTCTTTGCCATTTTTTAATTAGGGTCAGTGATTACTAATCATATGCGAAGAGAGCTACCAAACAGTTGAAAGATACACACCATGCAATTTATATGGTATTACCGATAGGTGCTAGAGAGATATAGATTGAATTAAAGCACGCTTCGGGCAGGATTGTGCTGGGGAACACTGATTGGCTACTTCCTAATCAATCAGCGTTAGCTGAGACTTACGCCCGTTATCCCTCGTGGACGAGCATAGCCCGCCCGCCAGAGTTCTCTGTCAAACTTTGTCCTGGGCAGTCGTTTACAATTTTCTCTAGTTGCTATTCATTCTTTTAATGTCTGCTTCCAGTTTCCGACGCAGTGTGATATTTAGCCTTCCTCTTTTCCTTTCAGAATTCAAAGTTAGCACTTTCCTGGTGATGCGGTTTGATGATTTCCACAATGTATGTCCTATCCACTCCCAGAGTCTTCTCATAATTTCCTCTTCAGCTGGAAGCTGATTTATTCTCTTCAACATTCGGTATCTTGTGTAGACGATTGTTTATGAATAGTTGCACCCCTTTGATGATGGTTGTGGTAGTTCTCCAAACTTCATCTCCGTACACTAGTACTGTCTTGAGTTTGTCGGTATGTCGAACTAAGGTTGTATTGAACATTTGTACTGCTGTTTGTCTAACACCATGCTCAACCCTCATCCTTTACTCAGTATTTGGACCGGCAGTAACTCTAGAGAAGCTAGAAACGCAATTAGTGGAGACTTGGAGCAGACTATAATCTTATATGATAATTATAAATACACCAACCTTTTTCTTACTGTTTCTGTTCAACCGTGTTCCGATTCGGGAACTCATTGAGTGAAGTAGTGTGTCGTCTTTAAAAAAATCATAACAAAGGTTCTCGTATTTTCCACAAATTTACAGCAGTATTGGATCAGTTCTGATGCGCTTTTCATGATATGAACATTAATTTATCCCTTTTCATCCATCACCATGAATATCTACAGTAAATAATTTTCCAAACAATTGTTTTCTTTCAGGATTTCGTCAATTCTCGAATAAAGCCTTGGGTAGATAAGAAGATTGTAAGTTATATCGGAGAAGCAGAAGCAACATTATCGAGTTTCATATGCGATCAACTACTACACCACAATCCACCGGAACGTATTCTTGCTGACATTGCCATGGTAAGTATTACTCAAAAATTAGTTATAATATCTAACCTTTAACGTTACTTAGAGAACATTCATGTATCTATAAATTTATTCAGTTCCAGTGGTGGAACAGTTGCATCCATTCCGTGCTTCCTAAATATTAGACTGATTGTCATTGTGTCGTATAATTCACCACTAGATTTTTACTTCAGTTGTAGTTAATCCCTTTTATCTTTTTGATTTATCCGTTCCATCTTTTACTATGCTAGTATTAGGTACTTAGCTTATAACGATTCCCGTTTGCATCAGATGTTGATGATAACTGATTCTTGAAAACCAGTTGCATTCTTGTCGTGATTTCCTATTTTCTTAAGTAGTGAGGTGTTTATTGTAAGTGAATGTGATCTGTGTATTCCTATTCAAACTGTGTTGTTTGATTCACAAAATCCATATTACATGACTATCCATATTTTGTTATCCTCTGTGTGTTGCTTTTATAGTCGGATCTTTTTCTGTCTAGCGATAGTCATATCTAAATGTCTTCTATGGTACTCAGACTACATAATGATTTAAGGTGTATATACTAATAAAATATATCTTAATTTGGAAGGTAGAAATCTTTGGTTTGTATTACATATTGAGAGTAAACAATCTCGACACATCTTAAAAATAAATAATAAAGTAATTAAATATATTAAGCATTACATTCAGAGGTTATTTAGCGATTATGTTTCAGCTATCGAATCCGATTTATACTCATCAAGCTTTACTATCTCTGGTATCGAAAACTACCCATTAAAAAACAAATATATTGCTAGGAAGTTAAACGTTAAATATATATATATATATATATATATATATATATATATATATATAGTTTCTGTCGTTATATCAAATGTGTGAGTATAAACAGGACTATAGAAACTAATTGCTTAAGATGTTGATCTCAAAATCCATCCCAAATATACGGAATACTTAATTTTTATTCTGTGAAGCCACCGATTTCTTATTTTCGATTGGTTTTCACACTTTTTCCTTCAATTTATCAATAACATTATTCCCAATCGTTTCCATTTCCTCGCATCGTTATTCTCTCATTGTCCAATAACCTAAATAGGTGCATGCTTTTTGTGAATGTTTTTGCTTTACGTCTCATATAATTGATCACATTGTCACACATTAGAATATAGAATAAATATAGCCAGAAAATGGGAGAGTGCTACATATCGACCAATATTAAGTAATGCAATAAAGAATAATTCACAACACCAATTTTCACTGATTGGTAGTTAAATACAATTGGGTCTAAGTCGGAGTTATTGGGGTGGGGTGAACTACCATATTTTTGGGTCACCATTGTTATAGTTATAACTGACACTAACTTTTCAGAGCAGTTGCAAATTTAAAATAGTGGTCAAAGGATTACTTTGAAGAATCATTCTTAGATACTTTTCGGTTTCGAGCTATGCTAGACAAACAGATTATGGTTTCCCAAACTATGTCCAACCTACCATTTTAGTGTTGAACATTAATTGTCTACTAAGTGGGAATCTATTTCTAGTTTTGTGAGTAATGTCGTTCATACAAACTTACCGACCTAGTTTTATGATAGAACAATCTTACAAAGGTTCACACCATTAGTGTTTGTTTACATCATATGTGGTTCATTGCAACGTCGATTACATACGTATATTCAAATTATTATCATCGTATCAAATGCATTTAATTATATGGCTTTAATACTATTATCATTTGGTTTGTGATTTTTATCTTCAGGTTTTAGATGAGGAGGCAGAAGTATTTGTTGTAAAAATGTGGCGTCTGTTAATATATGTGATTGCAGAGAAAAAAGCTGGACTTAGTGCTTAAATAACATACTCAGATGACTTACTTTTGTACAAATGTTTTTTATTCTGATTTGTATAAATAAATTGTATAAATTATCCAAGACTTTTCTTTTTCTTTTACGTTGCTTTTTGTATCCCCTAATAACTACCATAAATGTTCGTAATCCACTTTAGACGTACATATCATCCACAAATCTTCTTTGAATTTCAGGATAAGGTTTATCATTTTTGCGTTTTCTTTTGTTCTGCATTTGAATGCATGTGGCTATTTATAAACCTTGAGAATTTCGTACCACTGGACAGTAGCATACAGTCATGCAGCGTAAAACCTAGTTTCATTTCTGTGTAACCACTTACATGTAGAATAGCAGAATAAAGCGAATTTATTAACTATCAGATTTGTGAATTTTGACATATGATGATCGCGTTTCTATGTTGTAGGTCACTTATGCTCTTCTTGGTTCCTTGTTACGTGTCGAGATGATCACCACCATATTATTAGTATTTGGAGTATAAGTATAAGGTTATGAATCATCGACTGAGATGGTTGGGCCACGTATTACGTATGCCTGAACACCGATTACCACGACGTGCAATGCTAACCGGTGTAGGGGTTGGTTGGAAGAAAGTTAGGGGCGGCCAAACCAAAACGTGGCATCAGTGCTTGAAGTCACTAACTTCTAGTCTTAGCCATGTTGGTAGATGCAGACTACTTGGTTGGGGTCCGCGTGACTTTCGTAACCAATGGTTGGAGACTCTTGGTGACATGGCTCAGAATCGATCACAATGGCGTCGGTGTATACACTCTTTGTCTTCCCTTAAACTAAGAGATTAAAATCACTTCATATCTTTCTTTCTACGAACTAATTCTTCCTTCCTATACTATATCCTTATTGCAACCTTTGACCTAACCACTCCTATGAATCCGGTGTTCATCTTGTTGTGCTAATGAGGTATGGCAACCTGGACCGATGCACATATGTGCCTGGTCCTACGTTGTAGCTGACTGACTGACTGGAGTATAAGTGTGCTGAAGATGGTACGCGGTGTTTTATTTCTAACTTGGAAAAACTGACTTACTCTAGGTTAATATTATTCTAACTTAGTTTTCGGTTTTGCTGACTTCGGATGTAGTACGAATATGCTAGCAGTGTGGCTTATTGATTCGCATTTTTTAGACTAATTCCATCTGCATTGACGCTAAACATAGTTATTTGATTTTCGATGAATCCAGTTGAGATTGAAAAATTTAGACTGAAAGACACTAATCCTGATAGCACAAGATACTTTTCATTCTATAATACTGTCAACATTTGAACTCAACCGAAGACTTTTATTGTCATTTTATGACTACCGGTTCAATATAATTTTTCGACGACTAAAATGTAGAACAAGTTAAGAACCCGAAGATTATAATTAGCAGTCACTCATGACATGTAGGCCAAAACGTTGGATCTTCATAAATCAGGATTTCTCATGTTTCTTGAGTCTGTTCCGCGGAATGGTTTAGGCACTAAATCCCACATAACCAACTCCGAAAGAAATATTTTATACTAAATTTTGAATACCAAAAATGTTTGCGACCTCAGCTGGGAAATGTCTTCATAAGAGACACACTAATTTAACCTATTTTGTTCATTCAGACCAATACAAATTGCATGATTTCTAGCTGATCTGTTCGCTAAATCCGTTACTTGACAGACTTTGGGACATTCCATGTTTTCCATCATTGTAGAGACTTTATATGTACTCCAAGAAATCGACTGGTTTTTCTTAGCAACCCTGATTATTTATTGACATGGAAACGTATGTTTCGAGTTCATATCTATATTCAAGAGAGTTGGTTATTAAACAGTATTTAGTAGAATGGATTTGGCTTTTCAGATTTTTTGTTAGTTGTTATTGGTTTCAGAACATTCATGTATCAAATTATAGTCACTTCCCGATTTCACTGGAGGTGTTTACAAATGCAAATTACCTATCAACCTAGTTTGTGTTCCGTTCTAACATTTATTATTAAGAACGTTGGAAGCTCTAATTCATGGGGTTATAACCCTTCTCTGACAGGTCTGGAAAGTCTAGTTTAGTGAAATAAGTTTGGGATTTCACAATCCATTTATTTTAACAGCATAGAACCCTGGATAACTTCCATACAAACACGATATAATCTTTTATTGTATACCAATATTGCTTAGATGATTGTAATTAGTCGAAATTGGATTGTTGTCATCAGATCTCAAATAATTAATAATCAGCGAATCCGATCGGATAATACTAGGGGTTACCCAGAAACAATTCCTTATTAGTACTGACACAGTATGTATTATCATGTTGTTATTAGTAGCTATGATTCGTGTTATTTGAAGTAACGATTTGATATTGAAACTTTAAAATTTACGGCAGATGGTTTTAATTATTTGTGACTTTGGATTAACACAAAAGGACTGTTGTGCATTTATTCGACCTTTTGTGTTGTAGTATGGATGTGATACAAACTGGTCTTTTTTTTATCCCCTGATAGCGCAAATTCAGTATATCTTAAGATACGCAAAGTTCTTGCATTTGAAGATGAGCACCGTAGCATTGTCGTCTTAAAACCATACATATGTTTACAACACTGTGTTTGCCATATTTCTTCACTTTATTGTTGGTCGGAGAATCACGTTTTGTGTTTCTTTTGATTACTCTTGTTGTTGCTGTTAGCAAACTACATGTTTCTCATTTTTGCGAAACTGAATACACCTGATTAATTTGCTCTTCTAGTAGCATTCAGATTCTTTACATTCAAAAGTTGAATCTTTATCCAGTTTTTACGAAGTAATCTTGCATGTGTTTCTTGGCTTTCATTTCAGATCTCAGGAACTCCCGTGAGTGAATCGAATTCATGCTTGAATGAAGGCTTAACAATGCGACGAGGTTTAGTTGGACGTTTGTTTCTTCTTCTACGGCCAATTCGTTCTCAGTTCAGTTACTGGATTATAAATCCAAAACCTTTCTGCCCATTAACAAACTGCAACAAATCATTTCGTGTTCCTGGCCTGTTTATTCTTATTATTTTTGGGATACCAATTTCGTTGTCGCTCGATTATTTAATTTTGCCTCTTTCTCTCTTAATTTCTGTTTTATTATTGTTACTTGCTTTATGGTTTTGTTTTCAGTACCTAGAACAGACAATAGTTTATGCTTGTGATGAACCACCGTCTTCGAAATTTTTATACATGAATCCATCATGTTTTGGATTTTCTACATGGGAATTGGTAAAATTATGCCCTAATGGCAACACTGGGCCAACAATTATTGGTTTCCTTCTTCTTCAGCCTGATTTATGTCGCAGAAAGTCTTGTCCAGTTGTGCTTCTTTTGCATGGAAATGCAGGAAACTCTACTACCCGGCTACCAATGTGTCAAGTTTTAGAAAACCGTTTTCAATGTAATATTTTTATTATAGACTATCGAGGTTATGGTCAGAGTACCGGAAAGCCAAGTGAAGAGGGCTTATATGCAGATTGTACGTGTGCTCTTAATTATTTATACATGAGAAGTGATCTGAACAATGAAAAAATATTTGTACTTGGTCGATCATTGGGAGGAGCGTTAGGTATTTATTTGGCAGTGGATCCTATATCAAGTGAGAAAATATGTGGTGTTATTATTGAAAATACGTTTACATCTATCACTGATGCTGCAAGTCATATCCTCAATATACCCTGTAAATTGCCCTCTTGGTTGTTCTCAAATCAATATACCTCCTTGGCTAGACTTCAAAGTTGTAGCAAATCTAGAAAGAAATCCTCAGCTTTCCCACCTCTTTTGCTTATCTCAGGTGAGTTGGATAATATTATTCCACCAAAAATGATGTGGAAGCTTGCTGAAGCTTATGAAAATATAGTGACAAAACAGCATGCTCGAAATGAGTGTAGTTCGAGCGTAATGTACGACGACTCCCCAAACCCTAACTCGCTTTCCCAAAACCCAGTTACCTTCATTAATTCTGGAAGAGATGGTCTTGTGAGTTTTCCGGATGGTCATCATAATGATACTTGGCTTTGTAACAAGTGGTCAGACGTTATTTTACGTTTTATCGAGCAATCCAGCGTACATATCAGAAGTACTGTCAACGAAATTGATCTCAATGTGTCTGTTTGATCACTTTGTCCTTTATTTTTTTCTCGAAAATTTTTATACATTGTGCATTAATTATTTTGAACAGTTTTTATAGCTTGATTTCGTGGGAACGTTTATAGTTCAACTATCCTTTCTCTAGATTATGAAGCATAAATATCAGATTGAATAACGTTTTCACTTTCCACTCTTTTAGACCCGAGTGTGTTACGGTCCCAGTTAGTGTTTACAGGCTTAACTAATTTCACTACTGTTAATTGTTGACATACGAATTCTGTAAAATGTTTCTCTTCTATCCCGTGCTTAGTATCACGGTGTACTCTTCCAATTTCAGTGTATGTATTACTTAAGATACTTCTACTCATTTCATGTTGTAAGTTTGAAGTAAATCATGTTTGCGTGGGATTTTTATGTTTCCAGAGCTATAAATGAACACTCACCTTTGGAGTAACTCTTAATTTTGGCCTATGCTCGAAAATGGGAATCGTTGTTACAAATAATTTAGACGATATTCATTGGTGTCGGGTTGTGCTGGTTATGATTAATTGATTTTCACCATTGGTTAACTGCTATCTAAGTGGGGTTCGCTATCTACCATGAGGAACATCAGGTGGTTGTACATAAACTACGCAGCCACAAATATCAGTACGGTTATAAAAATGGTTCATCTCGCTTCTATTGGCAGACTGATAAAACAATCATTGGACCTTAATTTATACTGGTCCTCATTATCAGTAACTTTAAATCATTAATTGTAGAACAACTGTCAAGCTGGATGTAATAGTCGAGTAAAGTTCGACAGGGAGATGCCACTCGATAAGCAATCTATCGGTTAGTTTCGTTAGTGTTTTGGGAGGTGATTATTAATTTGCTACATCCATGTTTTGATTGCAGTATGCAGAAAGTATGATACTTACTCATATTGAATGTTTTAAGCTATGAACGATCACTGTGATCTTTACTGACGTACTTCTCCGAAGCGTGGCGCTGACATTGCTCTTGAAATTTATATTGTTTGGTATTTCGCGAGTTTTTAAAATGAAGTGATGTTTGATCAACTTGCCTACGTTTAAATTTCCGGTGAGGTATATACTTTTAAGAAGCACGTAGGAAAATATCTTTTCACTGAAACTATTTTATCCTTAAAAATATTTCTTAGCTAGTGGCCTGACAACTCCGCCTGGAGTCCCTCCGGGGGCTACTGCCGGTCCCAAGCTCGGATAAAGGAGGGTTGGGCATGGGGTTAGCGTCCCCATCCCGTAGAAAACTAACTCGCTAAAAAAACGCTAACCAGAAAAAATTATTCAAACCTTTTAAACTCTACCCTGGGAGTCAGAAGATCTTCATTTAGAAGAATTATGACGCCTCATGATGAAAGCCGAATTCCTTCGGAAGTTACGAGGCCGATGCCCCTTCTGACAACCAGAGCGACCATTTATTTAGGTACATGGAATGTTCGTACAATGTGGGACACCGGAAGAGCCTTCCAGATTGCTGCAGAAATGAGAAGATACAACCTAGAGGTACTTGGGATCAGTGAAACACATTGGACACAAGTTGGACAACAACGACTAACTACAGGAGAGCTCCTGTTATACTCCGGCCATGAAGAAGAAAATGCACCGCATACACAAGGAGTTGCATTGATGCTGTCCAAACAAGCACAAAATGCACTTATAGGATGGGAATCTCATGGACCAAGGATCATCAAAGCCTCGTTCAAAACAAAGAAAGAGGGCATTTCAATGAACATCATCCGATGCTATGCGCCTACCAACGACTACAATGAAGACGCTAAAGATCAATTCTACAATAGGCTGCAGTCAATCATCAAGAAGTGCCCAACAAACGACCTGACCATTCTGATGGGAGATTTCAACGCCAAGGTTGGAACGGACAACACTGGATATGAAGACATCATGGGACGACACGGACTGGGAGAAAGAAACGAAAATGGTGAGAGATTTGCAAATCTATGTGCCTTCAATAAGCTGGTCATAGGCGGCACCATATTCCCACATAAACGCATACACAAAACCACATGGACTTCACCGGATCACTCTACACAAAACCAAATCGACCATATTTGCATCAACAAAACGTTCAGGAGGACTATAGAGGACGTGAGAACCAAGAGAGGAGCTGATATAGCATCAGATCATCACTTACTGGTCGCCAAGATGAAATTGAAACTCAAAAAGCACTGGACAACGGGGCAGACAGTATCACAAAAGTTCAATACGGCCTTTCTCCAGGATACTAACAAACTCAACAAATTCAAGATAGTCCTCAGCAACAAGTTCCAGGCTTTTCATGGTCTACTCAATGGAGAAGGAACTACTGTGGAGAGCAACTGGAAGGGAATCAAAGAGACAATCACTTCAACATGTCATGAGGTCCTGGGTCACAAGAAGCACCATCACAAGGAATGGATCACTGTTGGTACACTGGATAAGATTCTAGAAAGGAGGAACAAGAAGGCAGCAATCAATACCAGCCGAACAAGAGCAGAAAAAGCCAAGGCACAAGCTGAATACACGGAAATAAACAAACAAGTGAAGAGGAGCATCAGAACCGACAAACGTAAATATGTGGAAGATTTAGCAATGACGGCGGAAACGGCTGCAAGAGAAGGAAACATGAGACAATTGTATGACACGACAAAGAAACTCTCTGGAAATCGCCGCAAACCAGAACGACCAGTGAAAAGCAAGGAAGGCAAGGTAATCACCAACATTGAAGAGCAACAAAACAGGTGGGTAGAACACTTCAAAGAACTGTTGAATCGACCAGCTCCACTGAGTCCACCCAACATCGAAGCAGCACCCACGGACCTCCCAATCAATGTTGGCCCACCAACAATTGAAGAAATCAGCATGGCCATCAGACAAATCAAGAGTGGCAAAGCAGCAGGACCGGACAACATCCCAGCAGAGGCACTAAAAGCAGACGTAGCGGCAACTGCAAGGATACTACACATCCTCTTCAATAAGATTTGGGATGAGGAACAAGTACCAACAGACTGGAAAGAAGGACTACTGATCAAAATACCGAAGAAAGGCGATCTCAGCAAGTGTGATAACTACAGGGGCATCACTCTTCTCTCAATACCGGGAAAAGTCTTCAACAGAGTATTGTTAAACAGGATGAAGGACTGCGTAGACGCCCAACTTCGTGACCAACAGGCAGGATTCCGTAAGGATAGATCGTGTACAGACCAAATCGCAACTCTACGGATCATTGTGGAACAATCAATTGAATGGAATTCATCACTCTACATCAACTTCATTGACTACGAAAAGGCATTTGATAGCGTGGACAGAACAACACTATGGAAACTCCTTCGACACTACGGCGTGCCTCAGAAGATAGTCAACATCATACAGAACTCATATGATGGATTACATTGCAAAATCGTGCATGGAGGACAGTTGACAAAGTCGTTCAAAGTGAAGACCGGTGTTAGGCAAGGTTGCTTACTCTCACCCTTTCTCTTTCTCCTGGTGATCGACTGGATCATGAAGACGTCAACGTCTGAAGGAAAGCGCGGGATACAATGGACATCTAAGATACAGTTGGATGATCTAGACTTCGCAGACGATCTGGCCCTTCTATCCCAAACGCAACAACAGATGCAGGAGAAGACGAACAGTGTGGCAGCAGCTTCAGCAGCAGTAGGTCTCAATATACACAAAGGGAAAAGCAGGATTCTCCGATACAACACAGAATGCACCAATCCAATCACAATTGACGGAGAAGATTTGGAAGATGTAAAAAACTTTACGTATTTGGGCAGCATCATTGATGAACAGGGTGGATCTGATGCAGATGTGAAGGCGCGGATCGGCAAAGCAAGAGCAGCATATTTACAACTGAGGAACATCTGGAACTCAAAGCAACTGTCAACCAACACCAAGGTCAGGATTTTCAATACAAATGTCAAGACAGTTCTACTGTACGGGGCAGAAACCTGGAGAACTACAAAAGCCATCATCCAGAAAATACAGGTGTTTATTAACAATTGTCTACGCAAAATACTTCAGATCCATTGGCCAGACACTATTAGCAACAACGTACTGTGAAAGAGAACAAACCAGATCCCAGTGGAGGAAGAAATCAGGAAGAAGCGCTGGAAGTGGATAGGACACACATTGAGGAAAGCACCCAACTGCGTCACAAGACAAGCCCCCACATGGAATCCTGAAGGTCAAAGGAAAAGAGGAAGACCAAAGAACACATTACGCCGAGAAATAGAGATAGACATGAGAAAAATGAACAAGAATTGGATGGAACTAGAAAAGAAGGCCCAGGATAGAGTGGGTTGGAGAATGCTGGTCAGCGGCCTATGCTCCATTGGGAGTAACAGGCGTAAGTAAGTAGTGGCCTGACGAATCAAATTTCTGACACTATTCGAACCTGAAGTAACCAATGTTATAGTAAAATATTATTACTGTTTTACTCAAACCAGTCATTAGTAGGACTACAATATACAGAACTTGATCCAATAACTCCAATTATTATCCAGAAGTTTGGAACAGTATTGATTACCATTCTTGAATTCTCTTCAGAAACAGTCCTAGTAAAAGAAAATCCACTGCCATAGCGAAAATGAATAGTTCAATGCTTGTATTTTAATTTGCAGAGGATTAAAAGATCGGGATAGGTTATTAAAGAACTATTAGTGTGCCAAACATCTTACAGTACTGCTGAAACGTTATAGGACTATTTACTGAGTGAAATATTCAAACTGTTGTTAAATTACATGTTTTATTGATGGATATGGATTACGATGCATAAAAATTGACTGTACAAGAGTTAGTCCTTTTGTGGAGGCGAAACTAGGATAACACCATCTCCGCGAATAAACAGCATGGGTATTGTGCGCTTTGTAGTCTACAATGAAGGGTATTTTGTTAGAGGTCAAAATAGATTACCTTGTAAACTTCTTCATATGTTTCCTCATCTATCTCCAATGTTGTTACAGTTTCTTCAACATTCCCCAGAATCATGTTCAAATGTGAGTCGAAAGCCTGTTTCAGTTAAAATACATTAAACTGTTTATATCTGGGGGGACTTTTTTATTATACTATACTTGTGTAATGGCTTATGACTCGTATTATAACTGACTGTTATGAAATACTGAACCTATCATTATTACCACTTGACGCTATCTCTAATGGAGTCTACGCTTAAAAGATCACGTGCAAAAGGCAAAAACAAAAATGTAGTACAACTGTCACTTATAGAATAAAGAAGGATAACCAAATTCATATACCGTGCATTAACTATGAGTGCAGTTGTTTCCGGATTTACCAGTGTCAGGTCACTTCATAGAAGACAGAATTGTCATCGAAACCTGAAGAGCGATACATGTAAACTAAATACAGATCAACAACACATGTTGCTTGGTCTAGCAATAATAATAGACAAGCTAAGTGTTACTTACTTACTTACGCCTGTTACTCCCAATGGAGCATAGGCCGCTGACCAGCATTCTCCAACCCACTCTATCCTGGGCCTTCTTTTCTAGTTCCATCCAATTCTTGTTCATTTTTCTCATGTCTATCTCTATTTCTCGGCGTAATGTGTTCTTTGGTCTTCCTCTTTTCCTTTGACCTTCAGGATTCCATGTGGGGGCTTGTCTTGTGACGCAGTTGGGTGCTTTCCTCAATGTGTGTCCTATCCACTTCCAGCGCTTCTTCCTGATTTCTTCCTCCACTGGGATCTGGTTTGTTCTCTTTCACAGTACGTTGTTGCTAATAGTGTCTGGCCAATGGATCTGAAGTATTTTGCGTAGACAATTGTTAATAAACACCTGTATTTTCTGGATGATGGCTTTTGTAGTTCTCCAGGTTTCTGCCCCGTACAGTAGAACTGTCTTGACATTTGTATTGAAAATCCTGACCTTGGTGTTGGTTGACAGTTGCTTTGAGTTCCAGATGTTCCTCAGTTGTAAATATGCTGCTCTTGCTTTGCCGATCCGCGCCTTCACATCTGCATCAGATCCACCCTGTTCATCAATGATGCTGCCCAAATACGTAAAGTTTTTTACATCTTCCAAATCTTCTCCGTCAATTGTGATTGGATTGGTGCATTCTGTGTTGTATCGGAGAATCCTGCTTTTCCCTTTGTGTATATTGAGACCTACTGCTGCTGAAGCTGCTGCCACACTGTTCGTCTTCTCCTGCATCTGTTGTTGCGTTTGGGATAGAAGGGCCAGATCGTCTGCGAAGTCTAGATCATCCAACTGTATCTTAGATGTCCATTGTATCCCGCGCTTTCCTTCAGACGTTGACGTCTTCATGATCCAGTCGATCACCAGGAGAAAGAGAAAGGGTGAGAGTAAGCAACCTTGCCTAACACCGGTCTTCACTTTGAACGACTTTGTCAACTGTCCTCCATGCACGATTTTGCAATGTAATCCATCATATGAGTTCTGTATGATGTTGACTATCTTCTGAGGCACGCCGTAGTGTCGAAGAAGTTTCCATAGTGTTGTTCTGTCCACGCTATCAAATGCCTTTTCGTAGTCAATGAAGTTGATGTAGAGTGATGAATTCCATTCAATTGATTGTTCCACAATGATCCGTAGAGTTGCGATTTGGTCTGTACACGATCTATCCTTACGGAATCCTGCCTGTTGGTCACGAAGTTGGGCGTCTACGCAGTCCTTCATCCTGTTTAACAATACTCTGTTGAAGACTTTTCCCGGTATTGAGAGAAGAGTGATGCCCCTGTAGTTATCACACTTGCTGAGATCGCCTTTCTTCGGTATTTTGATCAGTAGTCCTTCTTTCCAGTCTGTTGGTACTTGTTCCCCATCCCAAATCTTATTGAAGAGGATGTGTAGTATCCTTGCAGTTGCCGCTACGTCTGCTTTTAGTGCCTCTGCTGGGATGTTGTCCGGTCCTGCTGCTTTGCCACTCTTGATTTGTCTGATGGCCATGCTGATTTCTTCAATTGTTGGTGGGCCAACATTGATTGGGAGGTCCGTGGGTGCTGCTTCGATGTTGGGTGGACTCAGTGGAGCTGGTCGATTCAACAGTTCTTTGAAGTGTTCTACCCACCTGTTTTGTTGCTCTTCAATGTTGGTGATTACCTTGCCTTCCTTGCTTTTCACTGGTCGTTCTGGTTTGCGGCGATTTCCAGAGAGTTTCTTTGTCGTGTCATACAATTGTCTCATGTTTCCTTCTCTTGCAGCCGTTTCCGCCGTCATTGCTAAATCTTCCACATATTTACGTTTGTCGGTTCTGATGCTCCTCTTCACTTGTTTGTTTATTTCCGTGTATTCAGCTTGTGCCTTGGCTTTTTCTGCTCTTGTTCGGCTGGTATTGATTGCTGCCTTCTTGTTCCTCCTTTCTAGAATCTTATCCAGTGTACCAACAGTGATCCATTCCTTGTGATGGTGCTTCTTGTGACCCAGGACCTCATGACATGTTGAAGTGATTGTCTCTTTGATTCCCTTCCAGTTGCTCTCCACAGTAGTTCCTTCTCCATTGAGTAGACCATGAAAAGCCTGGAACTTGTTGCTGAGGACTATCTTGAATTTGTTGAGTTTGTTAGTATCCTGGAGAAAGGCCGTATTGAACTTTTGTGATACTGTCTGCCCCGTTGTCCAGTGCTTTTTGAGTTTCAATTTCATCTTGGCGACCAGTAAGTGATGATCTGATGCTATATCAGCTCCTCTCTTGGTTCTCACGTCCTCTATAGTCCTCCTGAACGTTTTGTTGATGCAAATATGGTCGATTTGGTTTTGTGTAGAGTGATCCGGTGAAGTCCATGTGGTTTTGTGTATGCGTTTATGTGGGAATATGGTGCCGCCTATGACCAGCTTATTGAAGGCACATAGATTTGCAAATCTCTCACCATTTTCGTTTCTTTCTCCCAGTCCGTGTCGTCCCATGATGTCTTCATATCCAGTGTTGTCCGTTCCAACCTTGGCGTTGAAATCTCCCATCAGAATGGTCAGGTCGTTTGTTGGGCACTTCTTGATGATTGACTGCAGCCTATTGTAGAATTGATCTTTAGCGTCTTCATTGTAGTCGTTGGTAGGCGCATAGCATCGGATGATGTTCATTGAAATGCCCTCTTTCTTTGTTTTGAACGAGGCTTTGATGATCCTTGGTCCATGAGATTCCCATCCTATAAGTGCATTTTGTGCTTGTTTGGACAGCATCAATGCAACTCCTTGTGTATGCGGTGCATTTTCTTCTTCATGGCCGGAGTATAACAGGAGCTCTCCTGTAGTTAGTCGTTGTTGTCCAACTTGTGTCCAATGTGTTTCACTGATCCCAAGTACCTCTAGGTTGTATCTTCTCATTTCTGAAGCAATCTGGAAGGCTCTTCCGGTGTCCCACATTGTACGAACATTCCATGTACCTAAATAAATGGTCGCTCTGGTTGTCAGAAGGGGCATCGGCCTCGTAACTTCCGAAGGAATTCGGCTTTCATCATGAGGCGTCATAATTCTTCTAAATGAAGATCTTCTTACTCCCAGGGTAGAGTTTAAAAGGTTTGAATAATTTTTTCTGGTTAGCGTTTTTTTAGCGAATTAGTGTAGCCAACTGTCAATTATCTCTGTTTACAATTAACTGATAATCGCCAATGGTGAAAAAATAAAGGGTCGTTACCCAGCCATAATAAATGAAGCATAGTAGTTATTTTGTTAAAACTTTTATGATGGCAGGCTAAGGAAACATTTTTTCGGTTGGCTTATATCACCCTTTATGGAGATTCTGTACACCTTTATCAATAACTACATTTTGTGTAGAAACATGCACTAGCATTGTCTGTGATGACAAACATTGTCTCAAATCTAACAGTAAGTAGAGATTGATAATAAAGTCATTACAAATTTGTGGAAAGCTTTCTTAGTATTTAACGCACTCCATTTTTGAACATTAAGTTGCAAGTTTGAACCGGCCTTCAGTATAAGTACCATCAATAGTCATACTATGAACAATGGCTTGATTCTGAATACATGAATCTAAATGAAGGCGTACATTATTAATAACGAACAGAAGACATTATATTTCTCGGAAGACCGTTTGATAAATCCTTAGAATCATAAGGAAACACTTCCTCAGGTAGATAATATCAAGCATTATATTGTACTTATGTCTAGCAGATGGTACATTTGGCATATAAATTTAGGGTCAGTAGGGCTGAGAAATGTGTATTCAAACAGCATACCAGTACTCCTAGACTTGACGAAATAGGGTATCGAAAAAACAAAATAGTGCACTTTTGATGATGATGCTTATACAGATGAGTAACAAAACAATTTGAACACCAGACACCGTGTAAAATACATGAGGTTTTCACACTGGTTATATCACTGAAGTTTCAGAACCAATTATTTTCACATGCCAATCCATACATTATTTAATTTGATGGCTAAGATTGTAGGTGACGTAGGATATTTATACACCTAGGGTCATCGGAGCAAAGTTCACGAGCAAATTGGAGTCGAGAAAAGACTGTAGTGTGTGCATGAATATGAATGAAATGCGGAAAGAGACGAAGCAAATTAATATATTTTATAAATCATAGTTTAAGAGAAATATATAGAAGGAATATTTGCCTTGAAATATAAGTGCATTGTAATTGGTGACCGACTATTTATTTACCTATTCAGACATACAAAACATGTATGCGCCACATCTCATCATTCGATTTGTGTGAGGGATGGAATAGTGCCTGAGCGTCTAAACCGAACCAAGTGGTTTTCTTAGGGGGTCACTTCCTGAGCCTTTGACCTAGAGGTCTAATCAACAAGGTGGTGGAGCAACGTCAGAAGACGCAGTCTTATAGTAGCTAGTGGTCAACAGTAGGCGCATACGCCTTTTGTCTATTCAGGATCCTGGAGCCCATGTGCACCATTGATTTGGAACCAGGTTTTTCCGACCCCCCCAGGTGGACCCTTTGCCTCCATCGACCCGGTCAAAGCACCGGACATTCGCTTTCCGTTCTCTCAACTTCGTAAACAACATCCTCTCAGTGCGAATGCAGTGAGTAGGACTTTCCCGACAATGGCTATATACGTATGACCATGTGAGAGCGAACTCGACCATTAACCATACCAGGGCATTTGGGGGTCGACTGGATTAGAGTGTAGTGCCTTGACCACTAAAATCGTAACTTTAAGCTTATTTGAATAAGGAAGGTCACCAATTAGTAAACTGCATAGTTTTGAAATACCATCGTGTGATTATTAACTACAAATAGTGCGTAACATACGTCGATTCAAATTTTGGCAAAAAAGCAATGATACATGAAGCATAGGACCGCCGAAGGGTGAAAAGCCCAACTCTATGTTTACAAGGGTTACATGTATATAAAATAGATCTACAGAATAAACTGACTTGCGAAACCTAACGTGAGAAGCCATGACGGAGCAGAAACAAAGAACAAGACATATATTAAAGTAGAATGTTCACTAGTAAGGTTCAAATTAGTCGACCTTGTCAAGTACATTACGAACCGGGAAATGGACTAAGTGAGACCAGTATTATGGCCACTTAAAGATGGGTGTTAGTTACCGTCTGGGAAATATAGTACATTATTACAATGAAAGTAGATTGTTTAAAAGAGCTTTGTGTACTGTATGGAATGTTTAAATAGGGATCATAAGACAACTTGTGTCAGAAAACACGATCTGTATTATAACGGCATAATGTTTTTAAAACAATACTTGTTTCTGAAATAGACTTCCTCCAGAGAACGAAGACTTTTTAGGCCCAAAACATGAGTTTGTAGAATATAATCTAGAGACACAAATCACCAATATGTTTACACAAACTTGACATCGTAATGAAAATAATACTGAGTATATTTAGAATCAAAATACTGAGTTACAAAACATAATTTTAACGAGAGACAACAGAGCTGTTTCTAGTTTCTCTGGAAACTAGAAAGTGCATGTGACATCTTGATCTAGAAGAAAGTTTGGATCGCGGATGTTATAGTTTTGTCATAACAGATATCACGCTGTGGTGGTTGCACTAAGCCTAGTCACTGAATCAACAGGAGTTAAGTCTGTAATCCTCTAATCTAGAGTTAAAAACCTGTAATTAACGTCTAAGTGTTCATACTCTCACAAGAGACCAAAATAAGGCAACAAGCTAAAGAAAGATATAGAGATACTCATTGATTGTAACATCTATCAAAGGGGGATGTAATCAAACATTAACATACGTGTAAGACACCTCGCAATTCACGGTTACGTTTCATTTTAACGTATATTTTTTCATCCAAGCTTAGTCTAATAAGGTCCAATGGCTCTTCCACAAGCACGGGTTGTTCTACCTACTCAAAATTGTATGAAGTCTTAGAAAAAGAAGTACCTCCTCATCTCGATTGTTACTGCCTTCCATGTCCTTGAATTGACTAATGCGCTTATTAAATGGTTCAAATGGTTGTGGACGGAATAGAAGAAGCTTTCGCTTAACAGGCTTCCGTGTCTAGTAGCAGGGGATCACCAAATCCTCCAGGCAGGAACCTAGGTATGTTAACAATAAAAAAGGAAAAGAAATTGGTAAATCATAATGTGATGCTGTCCTTGGTCCTTAAGAATAGGTCAAGTTGCCTCTTGAAGGACTCCTGAGAAGTCGCTTGGACTAGCTCGGCCGGCAGCGAATTCCAGCTTTTGACAACTCTTAAGGAGTAGAAGTTGTGTCTGCAGTCCGTCTTGCTATGTTGTGTTTCCAGTTTCTGGGTGTTACCCCTTAGGTTATTATTCGAACTAAGCTTAAGTAGGTGTTTAAAAGGATGTCCAGAAGTGTTAAGAATGCTATAAGCCATTAATAAATCACCTCTAAGACGCCTATATTCTAGTGGGTAAAGGTCTAGTGAACGGAGGCGTTCTTCGTAAGGCTTAGATTTGAGTCCTCGAACTGATTTCGTGGCTCGCCGTTGGATACGCTCCAAAGTGACTTTGTCCTTATGGAGTGAGGGGGGAGTACTATGTTTCCGTACTCTAAATGGGGACGGATGAAACTATTGAAGATTGTGTGGAAAGTTCTTCCGTCAAACTGGCCAAAAATGCGCTTCAACGTTACCAGTGCAAGGTTTGCTCGGAAGGCATTTTTGTCACAGTTAGCGTAAGACTTTAAGTCATGGGGCACCAGGACTCCTAAATCTTTTTCGACTTGGGATACTACTAGAGAGGAGTTTCCTAAGTTGTAACTGTAGTTTGCGACATGTAGCATATGGACTACTTTACACTTTGAAGTGTTAAAGGTAAGTCCGTTATCGTCTGCCCAACTTTGAAGTCGCGTCAGATCCTCCTGAACTGCCTGTATATCGTCTTGGTTGCGTATCTCTCTCCAAAGTTTCACGTCGTCGGCAAAAAGTAGTAAGTCTGACGTTACCTGTTGAGGAAGATCATTTATGTAGATCAAGAAGAGAAGAGGCCCTAGTACTGAGCCCTGGGGAACCCCACTAGGACATTCCATAGCCTGAGATAAAGTGAAATTAACCCTAACCTTAAAGTGTCGATTTTTTAGGTATGAAGTAAGCCAATCGATTAGAGGTGGTTTGATACCTAGTCGTTTGAGCTTGTTGATAAGACACAAGTGGTTAACCTTATCAAAAGCTTTTGAGAAATCAAGGTAAATGACGTCAACCTTTCCCTTGCAATCGAGGATGCTTGTCCATTTGTCCACCGCAGTCAGCAGGTTGGTTATACAAGAGTAACCCTTTCTGAAACCATGCTGTTGGGGTGAGAAGAAATTTAAGGACAGTAGATAGTTATTTAAACCATCGCATATCAGGGACTCCATGAGTTTTAAAGGTAATGACAGAAGAGCCACCGGCCGATAACTTGAAGGTTCATTGCGTCGACCACCTTTGAAAATTGGTGTGTTGTGAGCCAACTTCCAATTTTCCGGTAATTTGCCTCGTCTAAGCGAGTGTGAGAACATCACGCTAAGCGGCGTTGCCAGGATTGAGGCTGCCTCCCTCAGTATGGCAGGATGAACCATATCCATGCCAGGAGAAGTGTCAAGTCTTAAGTGCTGCAATTTCCGGAACACCAAGTCAGCGCTTAGGTCCACTTCAGAAAGTCCTGTGGAGTTGGAGATGAAACTGTCGTCAATAAATTTGATGTCAGCCGGTTGAAATGTTTGAGAGTAATGGGCCGCCAGAAGGTTGGCGGCGTCGCCATCGTTGTTGGTTGGGCCGTTAAGACCTAGCAGTTGAGAAACTCCTGTTTTGGCTTGACGAAGAGAGGCTGCATAACGGAATAGGCTTCTAGGGTTAGAGGCGAATTTGTCCATAAGCTTTGTTTGGTACTGAAGCCTGTCTTCTCTTATAGCCTTCGTGCATGTGTTCCTGATATGTTTGTATTGCCTATACGCTCCATCGTTATTAGTTCGTTTGTATTCCGCCCAACAGTGCCGTTTGCGGCTTAGGAGGCGAAGGGTACGGTTCTTGATTACTGTAGGTGGCTTGAAGCTTTTGTGAACCGTTTGAGAAACTGAATGGTCTGTAGCACATAAGAGCGTGTGCAGTAAGAAGTCCCAGTGACCATCCACATCAAGTTGAGGGTGAACATCCCAAACCACCTGTTGTAGATAGTCATGTAGAGCTGGCACATTCAGCCGTTTAAAATTCCAACGCAAATTATTGTTGGGATACCTTAGCTTAGTTTTGATGACGAAACTGAAGGCTATGACGGCATGATCGCTTTTTCCCAGAGGAGCCAGGATTGAGAGGTTGTCGACTAGGAATTCTTCGTTAGTGAATACACAGTCTAAGCGCGATGGTGTCTGACTGTTTCTCCAACGAGTTGCCGACCTCACATTTTCATATAAGCCCAAGTTATCGATGAGGTTGAAGAACCGAGCTTCAATTGAGTTGTCGCCTCCAGTGTACGTGTGTTCCGCGAAGTTGACTCTAGGGAGATTAAAGTCCCCTAGAATCAGGATGTGTGTGAAACCGAGACGGATAGAGCGGGATAGTCCTTCCAGCATACGACTATCGTACTCGGTGTCGGCAGTTGGCTTCCTGTAAATGACTCCGACTAGACACCTGGAAGTACTAGACAATCTTACAGAGCACCATATGGATTCCTCAAGATTGTTAAACTCGAGGTTGTGAACCTGGTGCACCTCCAAGCAAGAGCTTATGTATATGGCTACTCCGCCCCCAATTCCTATTTTTCTGTCGTTGCGGAACAAAGTCATCCCAGGCAATGCTAACTCTTGGTCCGAGAACTGAGAAGATATCCAGGTTTCAGATATTCCTATCAGATGGGCCTTATTAGCGTTGCTAAGTTCACCTAGTTCATCCAGTTTGTTTGGTAGACTCGCGGCGTTCATATATAAGCAGTTTATGCTTTCAATTTGGAACGCGTGAGCTTCGTCCTGTTTTTCTGTATGAACCTTATGTGAATGGACAGGTAGCCCACCTATGTGAGGTTTGCCGAGGTGGTAGGCCCTGTCCTTTACACGTTTTTTTATCGTTTAGACAGTCCACAAGTGGAATGGTCAGCTCCAACTTGCCTTTGTTCTTGGTCCTGACTTCGTATGGCCTATCCGGGTGCATGTGGATTCCAGGTGGCAATCGACGTCTATTAGCACGAAATGCTTCCAGAACTGCAGCCGCCATGTGGGAAGATGGGAAGGTTATCTTCATTAGACGGGGTCTAAGATCACCGTCCTTCTTGGCTAGTCTCGTCACATGCTGAGTCAGTATGTGTTTGAGCCTCAAGGACTGTTTGATGAATTTCCATTCCCTGATGTCAGAATTTGATTGAGTAGGGTCTGCATTTTCCGGTATACCTTGGACAATTATGTTTCTTCCGCGGAAGAACTTCTCGCGAGATTCTTTAGGGACGTTTCGTATGATATTGCGCTCAGAGTACGGTATGTCGGGCAGTATTCTTACGTTACCATCTGATTTCAGCAAGTGGCTTGCTAGCAAGACGTCCTCTACGTCGGTAGCATTCTTAAGTGTTACTCGGAGAAGCCTCGGGTGATTTAGATGCTTAGAATCCTTTCCTCGAGTGAGCCGGGTGACCGTCAAAGGCTCTATTCTAGGAAGTTCGAGCTTCTTATTCAATTCACCCCACAGCATCCTGTCGTTTTTATCCTGCAGACTGAGAGGAAGATCAGGATTGTCAACGAGGTTCATGACAATGAGAGAATCGTCACGAACTGTTGTTAATTTACCAGGTTTCACGATGGGTTCAGGCTTAGTAACTTGTTGTTTGGAGGTCAGTGTGCGTTTATGAATCATGAGCTCTTTATTGACCGGACGAACAGTCTTGGGGGTAGACTGTGCGACTAAATCACCAGTTATTTTCCGTGCAGCAACACTTGGGTTGCTCGGCTTAGGCGGTGATGCCTGGTTCTTTTGGGCTCTCTTAACGTGGGTCGAATCACATGCGGGGTTTTTGGCAACCACTGTTGTGTTCGGGGACCCTGAGCTGGAAGACCCGAGTTTGCCTAGGGAGTCTAGTACCGTCGACGTAATGATGGTACTGAGCCTCGACACGTCGTTGTTAGTGTTGATGGATGCTCCATCGATGGAATACCTATCGACATCCCTGTTTTTGAGTCCGTTGCACGCTCTTGTTTGTCTATCCGTTTTTTTACTATCGTTTTCCAAGTTAACTGACAACTTGTTCCAAAGACATGTCAGTAGGACAATGATGTTACTCAGCAAGACTACTGCGTCCGTGTTGCACGTGACACACACCCACTTTTGCTCTGACTTGCTGAGTCTGTTGTAAGCAGTTGCTGTCAGATCTGTGCATGCTTCGTGTAACCAACCTTTGCAGTTGTCGCACTGCATGCCAGTTGTGACAGCAAAACGGCATCCCGGACGTTTGCATGAGTTTTTCATGACGGTGTTGAAGCAAATTATGTTATAAATGCTTGCAAGAGCCTAAGACCTTTTTAAAAAAACACTAAAAAGCACACTGAAAACGGACAAAAATGGACAAAACGAGTGATATAAACTGAAACTAGTCTATACGTGAAAAACAATATTATATGTCTTGAATATGTTTAACAAATCTTAAACTATCTCATAGTTAAGTGTACTAAATAAAAATGGCTTACTTACAACAGACTTCCGTGTCTATTAGTAATTGATCTTGCATTACACAACATAGGTCGAGGCATTTAAACAAGAATACCACAAATGTCTCAAGTGGTTCAAATGGTTGTGGACGGAATGGAAGAAGCTTTCGCTTATGAGGCTTCCGAGTCTAAGAGCAAGGGATC